TTACCTGGAAAACAGACTGCAAGTTACCAGGGTGGGTACCTCCCCTGGGTGGGTTACGATATCTCACCTCCCCTAGAGAAATCAAGGGGAGTGCCTCAGGGGAGCTGTCTGGGGCCCATTTTGTTTACCCTGTACACTGCAGATTTGTCCAGATGTGTGAGTCACTGCAATGTGCATTCATATGCCGATGACTACCAATTGCATTTCTCCTATGAGATTCAGGCTGCTGATCAAGCTTTTGCAGGAGTGAACTCTGATCTGGTGAGAATAAGTGAGTGGTCACGCAAACATGGTTTGGAATTGAACTCTGAAAAATGTGTGATTCTTCATATTGCTACACCCACTACTCTTCACAGGGTTGCAAATGGAGACATGCACGTTCAAATCGCAGGAAAACCTCTAATGGTGAGGGATACCGTCAAGACCTTGGGTGTGGTACTTGACAGTGGCCTCACTTTCTCGGACCACATCACTTATGTTTCCCAGGTGGCTTTGGGAAGGCTGCGTGGTCTGTACCGGTACAAAAACATCCTGCCAGAGACAGCCAAGCTGCAGCTGGTACAGTCACTAGTGTTGTCACTGCTCCATTACTGTTTTCCTGCATACGGCAACAGCATCTCAAGGGAAGAGATGTCCCGATTGCAAAAAGTACAGAACTCCGCCATTCGTTTCGTTTACGGTATCCGTAAGCATGAACGCGTATCCCCATTTCGGGATGCTGCGGGGTTGCTGTCAATGGGTGTCGTGTGCAGGGCGCAGACTTGTAGCCTCATCCACCGGGTCTTGGTTCAGCGAGAGCCTAAGTACTTGGTGGAGAGGCTTGTGGCACGTGGGGAGGTGACTCAACGTGTGACCCGGCAAAACGCCTTGCTCCAAATTCCAAAAGTAAGACTAGAAGTGGGTAGAAAAGGGTTTTCTTACTTTGGCCCAAAGATATATAATGATCTCCCCTTGGACCTAAAACAGCTGGTGGTCCTGGCTTTCAAAAGAAAAGTAAAGAAGATGTAAAGTATTGTATATAGCTTATAATTTTGTTTTGTTTTGTTTTGTCATACACATTGTTTTTGTATCAATTTTTGTATATTTTTAAGTTAGTTATATTGACATGAGTTACTTTGTAAAACAGTTCTTGTACTGAAAGACGCTCGCAAATAAAGGCATTTTTATTTATTTATTTATTTACTGTACTCTGTATTATCCTTGTGGATGAACAAATATTTGCATTTAAAAACCATATGTTGTAGATCAAAATGTACGTACGTACGTTTTAATCTACAACAAAAAGAAGGATTAAATAAAACATGGGCTAGTATTTACGTTCGACACCTTAAACCATTAAAATAGAGCCAATCCTGAAGTTGTGTAATTTTTTTACAAATGTTTTAATAATTTATCTGAAGTTATGAAAAAGTTTAGGACTTAGGGAACTTCTGGGAATAATTACTCCCAAGCTGAAATTCACTAAAAATAGTCATTCTTTAGGCAGATTTAAAAATCAATGTGTTTGAGGCAGACGTTAAACAGGCTTTAACCCTTTTACCGCCACGGGCTGATTAGATCGGCTCCGCGATATGTTGTAAAGACCGCCAAGAGCCGATCTCATCGGCCTCCAGCCGTTATGTAAAGCCACGCGCCGATCTAATCGGCTTTGCGTAATTTCTTGATTGTGCTGTTGTTATCGCGTATATAATCGTAAACTACATATTTATTTTAAGGTTGAGAACCATTGTAAATGGTTTTAACGAACAAAGTTACCTAATATATTTATTATAGTACTATAACTACAAAACAAACATTGATCAAGTAAGCCGTGGCAAGGTTCGCCGCCACGCTGTCTGGACGCGCCAACGATTGGCGCCAAGCTGTCTGCGTTGCTACATTTGTTGTTTACATTCGTGATTCTTTGTAAATTCGCTTGGACTTGTGGTTGGATAGTGGTGAAAAGTGTAATTGTAGTTGTTTTTACTGTGCGTAATGGTTAAAAATGAGTAAGAGAAAGTGTCAATCGCCTCTAAGCGAAAATACTCTTGTTAATGAAATTGTTGCGAGTGGTTATGAAGTGATTCATAATGATGACGTTGATGCCGACAATGAAAATTCCCTTCAGGATGATTTGTCCTCTTCTTCGTCTTCTGAAGACTTCGTCGATGACACGGATGAAGATCCGACCTATGACCCCGATCCACAACCTCAGAATCGATTTCGGTTTCTCTCAGGACTAAATCGAAGGTTAACATTTGACAGAGATCTTCCTGGTCCATCAAACGCGTTAGATGATCCACAATATGACAGTGCCAATGAGGACAATCCCGACAATCCCCCCACTCCCCTTAATGTGCCCATTGATGAGGACGACCCTAATAGGCCACAAACACAAAGACTCACTGAAATGCCTGGTTCTGATGATCGTGTTGAAATGGAGCCTATTCGAGACGGAGGTCGTGGTTTCGGAAGAAGAGGACGAGGTCGTGGTCGTGGGAGAGGAGGTATGCAGGGTAGGAGCAATAATACCAGAGAAGAGTCTGACAGCAGTGAATGGGAAGAAGTAGACGACGAAAACGACCCTGGATTCCCTGAACACTTTCATTTTTCAGAGATGTGTGGTCCAAAACATTGCCCCCCTAGGAATTCCAGTCCTATTGCCTATTTACGTCTATTTTTCACAAGAACTTTATTGAATACATTTGTAACTGAAACAAATAAGTATGCCAGAAAATACTTAGGATCCCTTGAAGGCAATTTGTCTCCTAAAAGCCGTCTACGATCTTGGACGAATACAAGCGTCGATGAGATGAAAGGTTTCTTATCAGTCATTTTAAATATGGGAATAAACAAAAAGCCTAGCATTGAAAGTTATTGGTCGTCTTCATCATCACAAAATCAACCCTGGTTCAGTAAAGTTTTCAGTCGAAACAGATTTGAACTATTGCTCAAATTCTTTCATATAGTAGATTCGGACAAACTTCCTAAACAAAATCAGCCTAATTACGACCCGTGTGGTCGTTTTCAACCACTAATCGACCACTGTAATAGATTATTTCGACAGTATTTTACTCCATCAGAGAAACTTTCAGTGGATGAATCGTTAGTCGGTACAAAGAAAAGAGTTGCACTAACACAATATCTACCCAAAAAGAAACACCATCGTTGGGGAATTAAGTTGTGGGTATTGTGCGATGCAGAGACAAAGTACTGCTCCCAGTTTTATTGTTATAGAAGAGCAAAATATGAAACCGACCGTGACAGAATTGATAAATATGGTTTGGGCCCAACAGTCGTAGTGAAACTCCTGGAGATGGCAAACCTCTTGAACAAGGGATACCACATTTTTCTCGACAATTTCTTTGTCACTAAAAAGTTGGCCAGGTATTTGCTCAAAAAAGCAACTTACCTAACTGGAACAGTTAGATTGGGACGGAAGGGCATTCCACGGCAGTTGAAAGGGAAGTATGAGGTCGGGAAAAAGGTGTATGTAAGGAAGGGGGCCATTTTACAAATGGCATTTAGAGAAAAGGCCACTAACCGAACCCAATTCATCATGATGTCAACCAAGGCAAAAACTGGCAACGTTAGATACACAATAAGGAGAAGTGGGAGGATTGTAATCAAAAACAAACCTAAATTTGTCTACCAATACAATCATGGGATGGGTGGAATTGATGGAACTGACCAGATGTTATACACATATCTAGATGAAAGACGATGCATGAAACATTGGAAGAAGGTCATCTTTAACATCTTTGGTCGAATGGTCCTTAATTCCTATGTCATTTATAAGTTGAACACCGATAAACCTATTTCCCGACTCGATTTTCAGGTTTCAGCAATAGAGGCATTGGCTAATGAATGGCTGGAAGTGAAAAATGCTGCAGATGGGGTTGGTAATGGCGGTGGTGATGGCCCAGTTAATAAAAAAAAATTCGGAGTTGAGAAGCTGGAAGGGAATAAAGAAAAGAATTGTGCCGTCTGCAGTGGAAAGAATGACCCGGAAGGTAAAAGGAGACGAAGTAGAACGGTGTGTGTTTCCTGCAAGGTCGGGTGTCACTTGGACTGCCTCCCGCGTCACAAGTGCAAGTAATTAAACCCAGCAAATGAATATTTGTAAATATCTGTAAATAAGTGTAAATATGACTCAAAACTGTGCTGTTAATTCTTTAAGTTATGACATTACTTTCTCAAATCGCTTGAAACTGTCAGCCTGTGCTTCACAATTCACTGGACTAACAAAAATAAAGGTATGTCGTAACTAACATTTTATATATGAAATATATCCATGGTTACAATTTATATTGTTTTTTTTTGTTTTTTTAGAAGTAGGCCTAGTATTTTAAAGTTTACGAAGTATCATAATTACATGAAAATTATGTTATCAAATGCAACTTAAATCAATTAGGTACGTATTTTGCAAAAATTGATTTTTGGTAAAAATTACACATTTTGGAATTTTTCACTCTCATTCAATTATTTATAGATATTTTGACTTAAAATTATTACTACATGCTCAAAAGATAATAGGGATTACGGAAATATATAGTTTATCTATTACAATAATTTACGAAAATACCTTTTAGAGCATTAAAATAACAAATTTAAAAAATATTTCATAAATTTGTATTTTTTTCAATAGTAATAATATTTAAAAACTAGTAAAACTTTTTTATTTATGCATTACCTTGTAGATAAACTAAAGACGTACAATCGTACAAAACAAAACAAAAAGTAAAGATCTAGCTATAATCTAAGCCGAGTTATGATCGTTTGAACAAAAGACAACAAATTAGTGGATTTCGTTGTGGCGCTTCTCAAACAATGAACCAGCCGGCGGGTCAGCGACCTTCAGTCAGTCAGCTGACTAGGCGCTCGGCGGACCTCGCGCGCCATCTCGCATGCGTCAGTGGCGGTAAAAGGGTTAAACAATGAAATATGACATAACAGCAAGTTTAGTTAAAATTGACACAAGTTTGTTACATGTTTACTTCACTTTTATCTTATAAGAAAACATTTGTGAAGAATTTGTAATCCAGGATTACATTTTTATAATGATGGATGAAACAAAATGAAATCCTAGAGTTGCAGCATTAAATTTATATTTTAAACAATGAGATTTTAGGAGCAGTCTTTACAGAATTAAAGTGATGTTAACAAACCATCCAATCTATTAGATTTTAAAATAGAAGAATAATCTTTTGTTAACATTTGATTTATTCTTTCACAAATAATTGTTCCTTGAAGTTGTTTGATTTCTGTTATTTGCTGCATTTCAAGTTGACTTTCACTGCAATCACTATTTAGACTGAATTCTTTTTCTTGTGAACAGATAACACAAAGTCCTCTGCTTGCTTTATCCACTTGATCTATGGTAGAAAGTTGATTTTTGATTGCTTGTTTGATTGTGCTCAAATCCGATTTAAGGCAACTGAAATATAAAACATTTACTACACATGTTTACAAAATTTTGATTCGTAAGGTTAAGACATTCAATAAATCTCCTAAATGTTAACCAACTTCCGTAAGAGAAAGGAGGTGAGTGGAAGAGGGGGGGCTAGTCAAAACGTGCATTTCTGAGGTCAGTTTCCCTTCTATGAGTCATCTTAAGCCGGTCGGGATAGATAAAAATAGAATAGGGCAGCATGTGTGTACAGAGCGACACTAAGCGACATTGCAATACAGTAGAACTCCAATTAACCAAACTCCAATTAACCGAATCGCCGATTATCCGAATCGCTTATTTCAACAATTTTAATAACGTAAAGCTACAGTAATAATAAGTTTCGCAAAATATCAAAGAATTGTTATTAAACAAATTTAGCCAGTGTGTAATTTTGGACTTTGATGGAACACTATTAACTTAAGAACATGTATAGAACACTTGTGCTAAGAGCATTGTAAACTGTAAAAATGTTCTGATTTCATTTATTATTAACTAAAAGTTCATTTAGTACCGAAAATGAGGATTTTCTTGGAAATTCCCAGAATTCCTGTAAAACTCTGATTATCTGAATTTTGGATTATCCGAATGGGGTCTGGTCCCAATTGATTCGGATAATCGGAGTTCTACTGTACTGATTTTATATTATGCTAGCAGTACACTATCGCCGAATATAGGCGAGCACGATAGTGTGCTCGTGTATGCTCGGGACAGTTTGCCTCGCCATGATTCGTGCTTACCTGCTCTCTGTTTTTTGTCGGTTTTTGGGATGAGTCAAAGAAAACGAGCAAAGGCGTGCACAGAGCACAAACGAACTAGTGTCAGTTAATACTCGTCTTCAATCGTCTTGTCTCCAGTGACACAGAGTAGTGCAATTAATTGTGATGAGTGGACAAACGAAGAAACAATTTTGTTTTCAAGTATTTTCATAACAACTCTTGATTTTTACATTCTATAATCAAATTTTCATTTAGTAACAAAACTAATCATCAGGAAATGGCTTCTTTTTGTTAGGACTTAGTGCAAAAGCACCATCACTTTGGCATTAAGATGATAAAGTTAGGACAGGGCCTTATTATTTGGCTAATTATTACTAAAATATACCCCCGCCGCAGCAAACCTGGAGACTAAATGAACTTCCATTTGCGTGATTTAATTTTCACTTAAGTCATCCAGTTAAATAACATACATTTAATGGGTACCTAGGTTTGATGCTGGGGGGATAGTGTTTTTAATGAAATATTAAGCGAAGTAAAAATATAAAATAATTAAATTGTCCAGGTATTGATCAACATAACTTACATACAAAAATACCCCTGCCGACAAATTTCCATTTGTCTAAATTGATTTTCAATTTAATCTATTTAAATAACATTAGCTTTAAAGAGTCCCTAGGTTTGCTGCCTCAAGGAAACTAATAAAGTGTGTTTTTTAGTAAAATATTAATAGCTTAGTATAAAATAAATAAATTTTCCAAGTTCAATCAAAATATATCACCTTTAAACCACATTTCATCAAAATCGGAAAGAAATTACTCGAGTCATCGCATTCACGGACACACACACACACACACACACACACACACACACACATATATATATATATATATGTAAAAATTTGAACGAATGGTGTTTTTGGCCTCTGGGGACATCATAATGAAAAAGTAAATCGGTCCTGGGCCTAGGTCTTACCGTGCCACCTACGGCCGTAATAGCTACTTCCCTATAGGGAAATTCGCTAATAAGCAAACTACAATAATTTACTTATTCTCCATAAGAATAACATAGGAATTTTAAATTAAACATTTTTTTTTTATCCGAAACCAATAACCGCACAAAAACACTTCAAAATAATACTAAATTATTTTTTTAAGTTCTTTAAAATGGTTTGAAGAGAAATTGGGAAATTTTGTGTTTTGAGGGCGAAAAATTAGAAAAACCAATTTTTACCCCATAAAACCCCACATAAAGCCCCGCTTCCATGGTCTGTTCATGCTGGTTCATCAACTCATCCAATTTATCTTGCCCTACATCTTTAAGCTAAATTTCATCAAAATCTGCAAAAATTACTCAAATTCATAGACGTGTTTTATATATATATACATAATATATAAAATTTGAACGAATAGTGTTTTTGGCCTCTAGGGACATCAAAATGAAAAAGTATATCGGTCCCGTGTCCAGGTCTTACCGTGCCACCTACGGTAATAGCTACTTCCCTAAAGGGAAATTTGCTAAAAAGTAGTTAACAAGCAAATCTTTACATTAGCATGGTCAGTGGATAATATAAAGTGTAACTCCAAAATAAATACAGAATAACATTTGTACCTAACTTATTAAATGATTCAGGATAGAAAACTAAATGAGCTAAATTCTGTTTGAATCTATAGAGTTGTGTTAAACATGTTTCAATCATAACTACGGTAATTTAAATGTATTATACTTAAGTATTTTTGTACCTCAAAAGTCCATTGTGTAATCCTAAAGCATATCCAGCATGAAAACCTTTAGCAAAACCTTCATCGAATCCGTGTTGAAATTTCATTTCTCTTCCTGAGGCTAAACCTTCACGATATCCTTGCTGGAAAATAATTAATGTCCAGTTTGTAAAAATGACTACACAATTTTTTTAGTTACAAAAATGGTTTCATGAGAATTGGTGAGATATTGCTGAATTGATATAGAATTAGATTGAAAATGCAAAATCTGTTACGATTTTGTTTGTAATCTGTTACTATCAGAATCTGTGTGTGGGGTGAACACTAGCGTGAATAATTTTGGTTCAATGACCAGCTGGCACAACTTTTCTAAACCAAAAAAACTACTAGTAAAAAATAAGTGGTAGCAAAAAGAAGGAAAAATTAAAAAGCAATTTTACATCTAGAATTTGAAAAATCCCCAGAAGAGGAACCCTGAACACATAGTATTCCATATCCCAAATAAATACTCTTCCCTTTAAACATGACCATGCCACCACACACACCCATGTCACCCATGGCACATCCATGTCACCGGCTATGGCCAAATGTGTACTAAATAATTATGCACCTTATGGAAAAAAATGATTATCTCTCGGGGAACCGAGATTTAATATTATAATTAAAGGTTCAGGGTTTTAAGTTTTGAATTTCTATCCATCCCACTTTTTTCTAAAGTATGAGACTATCAACATAGGCTAGGTAATTTAGGACCTAAAACTTACAGAATGTAATGATTTCTTCATTTTATTAATTGACTGATTTGATACTTCCTCCTCATCACTATTCATTTTTTGTTGTTGTAATGGCATACAATAGATTCTTATTAACTATGTCGAAGCTGGAAAATAAAAAGATTAAACAAAATATGTTTAGCCATTTTGAAGTTAAATAGTTAGTCTTTGTCTTGCTGGGTTATATCATAGATAAAACATACTCCTTAGTAGATTTCCCATCCACATGGAACAGCTGAAGCCAATTTTCCTGTTAGTTCTGTCCGGTCTACTGTAGAGTCATGTTTTGTTTAGGGTAAAATTAGTTTCTTAAATTACTTCTTGATCAGCAACGTACGTGTTATTACAAAGAAACGTCTTATTACACTTAAAACATATATTTACGCTTATACTGTTACTCACAAGACTATAAATACTGTATACAAAATACCCCCGCCGCAGCAAACCTGCCGACTAAGCTAATTTCCATTTGTTGGAATTGATTTTCAATTAAATCTACAGTATTTAAATAACATAAGGTACGAGTACCTATGTTTGCTGCTACAAGGAAACTGTTAAAGTGGGGTTTTTAGTATTAGTAAAATATTAATAGCTTAGGCCTAGTATGCAATAAATAAATTTGCCAAGTTTTATCAAAATATATCAATAAACAAGCAAACTACAACATTTTACAATATTCTCCAAAAGAATAACATGAGAATTTTAAATTTACAATTTTTTGAATTTTCTCCATTACCAATAATAATTGTACAAAAACACTTTGATATACAAAATAATTTTTTTAAGCTCTTTAAAAAGGTCTGGAGAGAAATTGGGAAATTTTGTGTTTTGAGGGTCAAAAATGAGAAAAACAATTTTTCACCCCATAAAACCCCGTTCCCATCATGCTGGTTCGCGAACTCGTTCAAGTTTATCCCTCCTTACACCTTTAAACAAAATTTCATCAAAATCGGACAAAAATTACTCAAGTTATCGCATTCACGGACGTGTATATATATATATATCTTCTAATATATAAAATTCTCGTGTCACAGTGTTTGTCTACAAACTCCTCCGGAACGACTTCACCGATCGTTCTGAAATTTGGTGTGTAAATTCTGTAGGTATGCGAATCGGACGTAAACTATTTCCCGTTTCGAAATTCTTAAAAGGGCTCCGCCCCAGTGGCTCTGGAGTTTCCCATGTTAACCTTATGAGAAATGGAATTAATGAATCTTAACAGCTGTTTCAATTAAACAAGTTGGTTCTGTTCTATGATGTTCAATAGCATTAAAGTTACAAGGATTACCAACAGGGTGCAGCACTATTATTTCTTTTACATTTATGACAACAGCTAATTTGCAACCAAAAGGTGAGTGAGCGTAGCGAACGAACTTCAACCTGGAGGCGAGTTAGCGTAGCGAACGAGCTAACCTGAAGGCAAGTGAGCGCAGCGAACGAGCTCCAACCTAAAGGTGAGTGAGCGTAGCGAACGAGCTCCAATCCAAAGGTGAGTGAGCGTAGCGAACGAACTTCAACCAGGACGTGATTGAGCGATGCGAACGAGATCATCTTGAAAATTAAACGTAATGGTACTTTCTTTCCATCGGTCTGTCTTAGGGGAAACCTATAACTTAGGCGATACGAAGTTCGCCGGGTCAGCTAGTATATATATATATATACATATATAAAAATTTGAGCGAATGGTGTTTTTGGCCTCTGGGGACATCAAAATGAAAAAGTAAATCGGTCTCGGGCCTAGGTCTTACCGTGCCACCTATGGTAATACTGTAGCTTCTTCCTTATAGGGAAATTCGCTAAAAGGTGGTAAGTGGTGATCGATTTTGATTGGACCAATAGGCGAATGACAAGAATCTTGAATGGCGTCCCTACTTATACGCTATTGGCTACCGGAAGCACCCACCAATACATTTTTATAAGTAGGTACAACTGGAATCAAAATTTACTTGTTCATTAATCAACTTATTTCTATTTTTACTTTCCGGCGTGGAGAAAGTATATCTTACTAATATTATAAATGTGAAAGTTTGTGTGTTTGTTTGTGTGTTTGAAGTTCAATCACGCATAAACCACTGGACGGATTAGGCTGAAATTTGGCATGATGATAGCTTACATTCCCGATTAACATATAGGCATATTCTTATCTCAAAAATCCTTTCGGGCTCCACCCCAGTGGCTCTGTAATTCCCCATGTTAATATTATGAGTATTCATATTTAAAGGGAATTAAAGAGTTTAGTCAGCTGTTTCAACTAAAATAGTTGGTTCTATGATATGGAAAAGCATCAAAAAGTTATAAGATTTACCAACAGGGTGCAGCACTATATTTTTTTGCACTTATGAAAACAGATAATTTGAACTAAGCAGCAACAAAAAACTGTGATTCACAATGAGAATTGTCAAAGTAGGATTGTTTACAGTTATGTTTATGTTTTTCATTTCATGAATAATTTGTGATATTTTGCGAATTGTTGATAATTTATTTTTCTCTATTGTTTATGTGAAGTTGTAGAACATTATGGCTATCGTAGATGTGTAACCTATACTTATAAAAGGCAAAGCCCTCACTGACTCACTCATCACTAATTCTCCCACTTCCCATTTACCTAGGAGGCTGAAATTTGGTACATTGATTCTTTAGGCATTAAATAGGAAAACTAAGTTGTTTTTATTCTGATCGGACTCTCGGGCTCCGCCCCAGTGGCTCTGGAGTTTCCCATGTAAGCCTTATGATTTTTCATATTTAAAAGGAATTAATGAATCTTAACAGCTGTTTCAATTAAACAAGTTGGTTCTGTTCTATGATGTTCAATTGCATTAAAGTTACAATGATTACCAACAGGGTGCAGCACTATTATTTATTTTAATTTATGACAACAGCTAATTTGCAACCAAAAGGTGAGTGAGCGTAGCGAACGAACTTCAACCTGGAGACGAGTTAGCGTAGCGAACGAGCTAACCTGAAGGCAAGTGAGCGCAGCAAACGAGCTCCAACCGTAAAGGTGAGTGAGCGTAGCGAATGAACTTCAACCAGGACGTGATTGAGCCATGCGAACGAGATCATCTTGAAAATTAAGAAGTTAAACGGGGCAAAGCCCGCGGGTACAGCTAGTACCATATACTTATTATAATATATTACCATATACTATGGTATAGGGGGCTATACCATAGTATATGAAGAAAGTAGGGCCTATTGTTTTCGAAAAAATTTTCGAGTTTGAGTTTTGAGTGGATATATTAGTTTTGGGTCCCCCTGGACACAAAAAAGTGGTTTTCGAAGTGATGTCTGTGTGTCTGTGTGTGTGTGTGTGTGTGTGTGTGTGTATGTGTGTCTGGATGTGTACAGAGCTAGGGACTACACCTGTGGTCCGATTTCGATGTAATTTGGTATGTAGGTTTTAATCCATGGTATCTCCAGGCATTTATTTAATTTTTTTGAAATTTTGGTTTTTAATGGGGATTTTCACATAAAAACCCATAAAAACCGGAAAAATCTGATTTTCTCAAAAATGGCCTGAACGATTTTGATAAAAATTGAGTATGTTGTAGCCCTTTAAATTCTGAACAAAACGGATCAAATCCCATTTCTGTAAAAATTACGGTTCAAAAGTTATTGTAAAATATGTTATTTTCCCACAAAAACCCCATAAAATAACAAAAAATAGGATTAAAAAAATCCGGTTTTGGTTTAACATAGTATGTTATGGTCCTTACAATTTTGATAGTTTTTTTTTAAATTTTGATTTTTAATGGGGATTTTCCCATATAACCCCATAAAATAACGGAAAAATAAGATTTTCCCAAAAATGGCCCGAACGGTTTTGATAAAAATTTAGTATGTTATAGTCCTTTATATTCTGAACAAAATGGTACAAATCCCATTTCTGTAAACATTACGGTTCAAAAGATATTGTAAATTATGTTATTTTCCTATAAAACCCCCATAAAATAACAAAAAAATCTGATTTCCCCAAAAATGGCCCGAATGATTTTGATAAAAATTTAGTATGTTATAGTCCTTTAAATTCTGAACAAAATCGTACAAATCTCATTTCCGTATATTTACTCTCACCGCTTAGACATGGTAAAGGTTGTTGGCAAACTTATGGGAGAAAGTATGAGTCAGAATGCTGATACCGTTTATTACATTTTTCCTTATAAATATAAAATTCTTTCCAAGCATTCATTACATATCCTTTCTTACAATTCTTTAAAATACATAGACTATCCTCCATTTTTCCTGATGAGTGGCCATTTTGTAACAGGTGTTGTGCAACATTTGATCTTTCTGGTTTGTTGTTCCTCCACGCAGATTTGTGGTTTTTGAAGCGGTTAACGAAGTTCACTGTCTGTCCAATGTAGAAGCTATCACAATCGTTATAATTGATTTTATAGATGCCCGAAGCGTCAAATTTGTGTCGATATTGTTGCTTTGGCAACTAAACATTCTTATGCCAAGAAAATTGAGAAGTTAAAAATTTCAAAAGGTAAGTTTAGACCACAGAAGAAAATTATTTGCCATCTTTGTAATCCACCTGGACATATTAAGCCTAACTGTCCTAATCTTGGCAATAACTCTCGGCACAGATCTAAGGCAAATTATGTTGGGAAACACAAAGAAAATGACAATGTGTTGCTTACAACTGTTTTCCATACTGAAAACATAAAATCTTATGAATCCAAAGTTGATCATAATGATTGCTGGGTAATTGATTCAGGTTGTACAACTCATATGAGTAATCAAATGGTGGAAAATGGTAAGTTTGAAAAGAAGGAAGTTTTGGTGACCAATAATGCAAAACTTACAAGTAATTGTGTTGGTGATATTGAACTGCTTTATATAGAAAATTCTAATAAAGTTACTGTTAAGTTACCAGAACTTGCTACTAATTTGTTGTCTGTAAAAAAATTACAGAAAAAGGTAAAGGAGTAGTTTTTTAAAAAGATTCGTGCAGACACAATATCCAAAAAATGAAATTGGTGCCGGGTCCAGGTCTTAATCTTATTCCCTGTTTATGGGAAATTCGCTAAAAGTAAATCGGTCCAGGTCTTACCATGAGACCTACGGTAATACAGTAGAACCTCTTTTATCCAAACCCCCGTAATCCGAACACCTCATTGAACTGTACTCCATATACAGTAGGCCTACAGTAGTTCTTTATTGTATATGTAAGCACAGTAATTGTTTCTATTGTAATGTACAGTACTATTTATTCACTATGTTTACTACTGTATTAAATAATCACTGCATTTTACTTTATAAAGCATTTTTTTACTTTTCCTTTACCTAACAGTTAAGAGCCAATTTAGCCATGTTTTATCTATCCTATACTCTAATACAAGCAATGTTTGCTTGTATGTATGTATGTGTGTATGTGTATGTATGTTTGCACAAAGATCTTGAAAACGGCTCCGACGATTTTCTTCAAATGGTGTAAGTAGTTTATTTCTGGCCTAAAAACGAGTTTACTGCAGTTAAAAACTGCCAACAAAAATCTAATTACGTAGAAAAATGAAACTGAAAATCACATTTTTTTAACATTAGTCTTATGGGTTGCTAAGTAACCATGTTGGTTTCAATTAAATAACAAGGAAAAAGTAAACAAAAGACTTGTAAGTTGCCTATCCACAGTATAGGCCTACTAGCAAATTAAAAATACAGGACAAAAGGAAAAACATCAGTTGTTACTATTGAGCAAAGATTATACTCAAGATTAAGTACTCGATACATTGTAGTCAAGGGTAGCAGTATGGAGTGTGGAATCTGTTTATGACGATTAGATTACGGTATCTGCAATCCTTAAATGCTATGGGAAGGGAAGGAAACAGGTCCGCGACGTAGGAAGTGATGAAGGAAGTAGTCAAGGTGAGCAGTCAGGAGTGTGGGAACTTTTTATGACGATTAGATTAAGGTATATGCAATCCAAAAATGCTACAGGAAGGGAGGAAAACAGGTCCGAGACGTAGGAAGTGGTGAAGGAAGTAGTCAAGGTGAGCTATCCGGAGTGTAGGAACCGTTTATGACGATTAAGTTATATCAAGGTACCTGCATTCCTAAAATGCCATGGGATGGGAGGGAAACAGGTCCGCGACTTAGGAAGGGGTGGAAGGAAGTAAAAAAGGCGAGCAGTGTGGAGTGTGGTAACTGGAAACAGTTTGTAGCAGTTAGAATAATGTATCAGCAATACTGAAATGCTATGAGAAGGGATGGAAACATGAAACATGTCCATGACACAGGAAATGGTGAAAGAATTAGTAAAGCTAGCAGTGCAGAGTGTGGGGAATGGATTCATGTATCTGCAATACTAAGACTGCTTTCAGAGTAAACTAATGATTTTCCCCGAGCAAAGCTCAGTCACCAGGTACTTGTTATGTAAAACAACAATATATTCTGTAGTCCGAACTATTCAATAATCCGAACCCCCCCCCCCCCCCCGGTCCCAATGAGCACAGATTAAAGAGGTTCTACTGTAGTTTATTTCCTACATGGGAAATTCGCTAAAATGTGGGCTAATTTAGGACGAGATTGGTTTGAAATGGGAAAACAAAACACTCACCTTGTTGTTAATTAGACCATGTTTGTTGGAGGTTAGTCACATTTACAAAACAATTAATTGGGGTAAGTATGGCTTAAAATAGTCACTAGTCAACCACAGGTTAGTATCTCTAACTCACTAAACGATTTCTTTATCTATCTTTGTCTCACTCAACTAGTCAACTTGAACTTGATGTCTTATCAAATACTGATCATCACCGAACATGGAATGTCAAATGCTTCAACAAACTCAAATTGAAGGATACATGCTAATATGCAGTTTTTCAAGAACTAAACATAAATGGGGTGGGATTGCCATCTACGCAAAGGAAAACCTCTCAAAAAACTTAAAACAGATAAACACAACCGATATAAACGAGGAGCTCATATCTGAAATAGCAGCCTTTGAGATAAAAAAGCATAATTTAATAATAATAGGAGCATACAGATCCCCTAACCAAGACCTAGACAAATTTCTAGCCAACTTAGACAAACTACTGTGCATTTTTACTGGAAACAAAAAAGATATAATCTTGATGGGCGACACTAATGTGAACATCAGACAGAAACTGGACCATAATTTCCAAGTGTTTGAACGATTCTTTTTGGAACACAACCTCAAAATAATAGATATACCACACACCAGATTAACCAGAAACTCAATCAGCAGCCTAGACACATGTATCACAAACCTGGACCCCAAAACCATGAAAATACAAACACACAAGAATGTGATCTCAGACCATCACGGAATTAGCTGTACAATGCTAAATCGCGCCCTAAACGAAACAGCACCGCTGAAGAAAATAATACAACCTACGACGGACAACAACCTCATCAAACTAAAGAGAAATCTAAGTGAGCAAAATTGGGAAAATGTTTACCAAGCGGAAACCGTTGATGAAAAATACAAAAACTTCCTGGAAATTATAATAAAAGAAATGGACTCGACAATGCCTAGAACATATAAGACCTAGGCCTATAACATTAAACCTAAGAACCCATTTTGGGACTACAAAACCATACAGTTGAAAAATGCAGCTGCAGCCGCACACAGCAAATTCCTACTCACAGACTCACTAGAAGATAAACAAACATTTACAAGACTAAAGGCTACCTACGACAAACATGTAAGAGACCAAAAGGCACTACATACAATAGAACATATAAAACAATCCAAAAATAAAAATAAAGAGATTTGGAGGGTAATAAATAAAGAAAGGAAAGCGCCTAAAATTTCAAACCAGAATATTACGTTGAAAATAACCAACAATATCGAGACAGACCCAAACAATCTAAGCCAACATTTCAACAACTATTTCATAAAAATAGGAGCACCTACAAATCCACCAGGCCTAAGTAAAAATGAAGATACAAATTGCAAGCCTAACCGACCGGACCCACAAACAGGCTTACACCAAACAAAAGCTAAACTGGAGCACTTCACTAAAATAACAAAAAGTGAGTTGATTTGGATTTTTAACAGTTTCCCAGCCAAGAACTCATCAGGAATAGACAACATTTCAAATAAAATAATTAAATTCTGTCAAAATGAACTTCTAGAACCCCTTTTACACATCATAAACGCCTCAATTGAGCAATCCACTGTCCCAGAACTAATGAAGATATCCATAGTGTATCCTAAATTCAAAAAAGGAGAAACACAGCTCATAGAAAACAACAGACCAATATCGCTACTACCAACCTTCTCAAAATATCTAGAAAAAACAATAAATATGCAACGGATACATTTTCTCGAAAACACAAAATTAATATCTCCAAACCAACACGGATTCAGACAGGGAAAGTCGATAAATACAGCCCTAGCCCAACTATGCGAAACAATTACTAACTTATGGGAAGACAAGAAGCAAGCCACAGCAACTTTCCTGGACCTACAAAAGGCTTTTGACAGCCTAGATCGGAAGCTTCTCGTCACAAAACTAGAAGACATGAACATCACTGGAAATGCCATAAAATGGATACAAAACTACCTTGATAACAGAAGCCAAACCGTTGAAATAGAACACTACAAAAATAACTACCAAATTAAAACTAGATCAGAACTACAAAAGACCATATAGCCACAAGGCTCCATACTCGGGCCTCTACTTTTTCTTGCTTATATAAACAGTTTTCCAGACAACTTACCCCCAGATTATACATGCATAATGTTCGCTGATGACACCAAAACTACACTCCGACAACTAAATCAGAAGAAACGCCCCAAAAAATTGAAGAAACCCTACAACTATCAACAGAAATCTGTGACAACTTGAATTGAACCTAACTATAAATAAGAAGAAAACTATACACATAAAATTCACAACTACAAACAGACAGCAAGAAGAAGAAAACCTCACGCAGCAAAACATAACCGACAATGCAAAATTCCTAGGAATTACAATTGATAAGAACCTAAACTGGCACAAGCATATAGACAACTTGCATAAAAAACTGTCTTCAGCCCTTTTTGCACTGAGAAGAATACGGAAAATTACAAACAAATCGATAACAATAACAGCATATCACGCACTTTTTGCAGCTCACATAAATTTTGGAATAATAGCCTGGGGATCCACAGATCAGACATCATTAAAGAAACTTGTAATGTAATACTGCAACAAAAGGCTTTGGGAATTATAGAAGAAGCACACTACCAAGACCACTTTTTCCCAAAAAAACAAATCCTCACCATCACCTCCACCTATATCCTTGAAGCAATAAAGTTTATAAAAAACAAACCAAACACTCTTAGATACGAATGCCACAAATATAATCTGAGAAACAAAACAAACCTAAACCTAGAACAACATAGGCTCCAAAAAACTAGCTCAACCCCACATTTCATGGGAACTAGGCTTTTTAATCTTCTACCAAACAATCTAAAATCAATAACTGACACTAAAAGTTTTATTAAATCACTAAAAAAATATCTTCAAAACAAACCATATTTCAACCTAAATGAATTTTATAATGACCATAACCATAGATAAAACAGCCATAACTTCCTAAATAGGCCCTAAAAAAAATGCTCACAGCAGGCCTACAGCATGAAGAAAGAAAATTCTGACGATTCCCCGATCTTGATGACCGTGGAGAAGATGAAGTGAACTATGAACTATCCTGTCAACGTCAACTCAGCTACAACAAATACAACATAACTTTTGTAAATTGTAAACAAAAACAAAAAAACCAACACGAACACGAAACAAATGGTTATGATGGCTATGTTATGATCGGTGGGGCACACGGGAGGGACTAAGGCTAACATATCTTGTAGTGTCAGCGTTCGCCGAACCAGGGGCCCTATTTTTGAAATGGTTGACTGTTGAGTTGAGTGTCGAGTCATTCTATTTCCAATCGTTTCGTATTTTTGAAACGGTTGACGGTGGACTTATACAACCAAAACTACTCAACACCTATCGAGCTGTTGAGTGGAGGTTGACTGCACTTTCTTCTTCCTCTCTTTCGGCAAAAAATTACTCTTTTTGAGACGACGCCATATTGTTTTGTTATTGCTTTAATTTACTAATTGCGATTTAGAGGTTATGTATTTGTTGTCAATGTATTAGCACCCAATTATGCGATTGTTTTCTGTAGAATAATCGCATTTTAATTTTATTTACTGTGTCAATACTAGACTATTTAATCAAGGGTTTTATTCTTGTTGGAATGTTTGAAATAGACTAGACATACTAATTGAACTTATTATAAGATAATTAATTGTTATTAGACCTATGATTTATTAAGGATTGTGGTAGAGAGAAACAATATCATAGTTTGTTTGAATACCATTCGCCTAATAAAGGGATCAAATTAATTTAAGTTACGATATGCTTTCAGTGCAATGGCAAATAGCCGCTTTAACCTAAATAAAAAACAATTAAAAATATTATAAAACAACCCGATGAAGGAAACTAAAATAAGGTGATGTGTTCCGAAATAGAGACGAAGAAAGCAAATAATAATGTATTTAGGATGAGTGTAGGACCTAAAGTAAAGTGCAGCCTATGCCTAAACTTTTAATTAGCTACACCCTAAAACAAACATCCATAGTAAATTTTATTTTTTATACTTAAGTTTATTACTTTATTTAGTTTACTTTAGTTAATTACTTAAGTTAAGGTACTTTGCAATCACTAAGATTAAGCAAGACATAACCTCAATCTCAATCTCTCAAGAACGGAGTTGACAGTTTACCTCAGTGTCTCGAAATATGGCAGATTGAGATTAGCTGCCAGATTTTAGAGTAAGAAGAGGTTAAATCGAAGTCCGCAAGAACTCTGGATTGTGATTGGCTCAAAATGACGTCATCTGAATTTTTGACGGTCGTATGCTCTACATTTCCACCACGAGTCTCTCAACTAGTGATCCCCAACTCGCTTCCCAACTGTTGGGTTTCAAAAATACCAAATCATGTTGTTGGTTGAGTTGAGTGCTGACGATTGACTCAACTGTCAACCATTTCAAAAATAGGGTCCCAGGCTGAAGATAGCTGACGGTCCATCTGACGACCTGTTTTTTTGCCCATTTGATTTATGACAGGCCGAGTGGTAACTGGACGGAATTCAAAATATAGTAGACCTCCATGTGGATAGGATACATTTGGAAAAATGTAGTTTGCTATTTTATATTTTGATTAAATTAAACATTATTAATTTCATCGTTTAGACCACGTTGTATGTATGTATCTGTATAACCGATGTATGTTTTCGTGTTAAATATGTAAATTGTTTAGGACTACTTCACTTCTACATAATAATTCACATATTATTATTTATATTAGAAACTATATTAGAAATGATGAAATACATTTGGTATTCAAAAGAATCCAGGTCCCAGGTAGGGTAGGGAGGAGAAATAGCAATGCGACCTAAGCCTAAGTGGAATGTAAAGATTCAAAACATCCAACTCGAGATGCATACCACTTAGCTGAACGCTAAACTCCCAAAACATATGAGTAAGAATTTACCTGGAAAGGTGGATGGCCTTATTGAAATACACCCAGAACTGAAAATTAGCTTGAACGTAAATTAGAAATGTACAGCTCCCAACTAACTAAATTATTATTTATCATTCATAATTTTGGTATTTTAAGTTGATACGGGTATTGTTTTTGGCTACCAGTAAATAAGTTAAAAAAATGTATTACAATAATTATTGTATGTAAATTGCATTATGATTATTATTACATTATGTGTGACATTATTATTATAACTTTCTGGAAAGTGTCAAGAGTTTTGATAATATATATCAAAACCCCTGCTCCTTTTATGGTCCAATCATGCTGGTTCGCCAACTCATAATGAAGTGTATCCCAACCTACATCTCAAAAACCAAATGTTATCAAAGTCGCTCAAAGATTACTCAAGTTATTGCGTTCACGTACGTGTATACACATATACAACAATTCAAACGAATTGTGGTTTTATGTCGAGTTCTTAACCGTGCCACGTACCGTAAGTACGGTAATAGGCATTTGCCCTATGAACAAATGCACTAAATTATACCCTTAAAAAGGTCTAAAGACTTCAAAAACAGTATAGAGATTGACTAACAAATGGGTAATATTATTAACACATAAACCATTTTAATAGTAAAGGAATAAAACATCAAACGATTATAAATCATTTCTATATGTGGAGAACCTTGGAAAACCACGTGTGAACATTTCGTGTCAAGTGATAGACGGGTGGACAGTGCGCTAATAGAATAAATCGTACATTTTAACGACTTCTATAGCTACAACCTAGGTGGTGGCAGATGTTAGATGTAAAATATGTTATTAATAGTTATTGGAACTAGACCATGAAAGAATTAAAAATGATTTATATAGGTGGAGAGCCTTGGATAATCCCGTCTGAACACGACGTGTTAAGTGATACAACGATGAGCTAATTGAATAAGTCCGAAGTTTCGACGACTTCTACAACAACAACCTAGGTGGTGGCAGATCTAAGCTTAAAATATGTCTTAAATAGTTATTGGAACTAGACCATGAAACAATTAAAATTGATTTCTAGAGGTGAAGAACCATGGATAATCCCTTTTGAACATGGCGTGTTAAGTGATACAACGATTAGTTATTAAATAAACCTAAAGTTTCGACCACTTCTATAGCAACAACCTAGGTGGTGGCAGATCTATGGTTAAAATATGTCATTAATAGTTATTAAAACTAGACTATGAAACAATTAAAAATAATTTCCATTGGTGGAGAGCCTTGGATAATCGCGTCTGAACATGGCGTGTTAAGCGATACAACGATGAGCTAATTGAATAAATCATAAGTTTCGGCGACTTCTACAGTAACAACCTAGGTGGTGGCAGGTCTAAGCTTAAATTAGGATATTAATGGTTATTGAAACTAGACTTTGAAACAAATATAAATGATTTCTATAGGTGGAGAGCCTTGGATAATCGCGTCTGAACAGGGCGTGTTAAGTGATAGACGGTGAGCTTAACACCCAAGAGGTAAATTACTAGTTTCCCCGTGTCACATTGAGACGACTAAATAATCTATTTGATATCATCCTTCCGACTAAATTATGTTTCAAAAATTAAGAACTTATAAAATGTAATGTTAAAATTGTTATAGTCTTGACATTTTTGAAAGTGTATTTTAAACATGTTGTGATGGCATAACTCAGTGAGAACATTGCGTGTTAAGTCATAGACGGGTGGCGACGGTGCGCTAATAGAATAAATCGTAAGTTTTAACGACTTCTATTGCAATAACCTAGGTGGTGGCAGATGTTAGATGTAAAATATGTTATTAATAGTTATTGGAACTAGACCATTAAAAAATTAAAAATGATTTCTATAGGTGGAGAGCCTTGGATAATCCCGACTGAACATGGCGTGGTTAGCGAGACAACGATGAGCTAATTGAATAAATCCTAAGAATGTCACGTTCTACGCTTGAATTGCAGGTCTGCACAACTGCACACTAAAGAAATTAGCAACGTTTTTTTCACAGGATTTTAGAAACCAGAACTTAGTGGCTCATTTCAGTACTACAATTACAACATTATCAACACGTATTTTTTTTAAGATAACGTGTTTTGTAATAGATAATGAGCTGATGGGGAACTGTATTAAATAAGTAAAGATAATTGATTAAACTATACTCCTTTGTTATGTTATAACAGATACCACAACCATTTGTTATTAGAAATTAACAAATCATATACAACAGTTGTTGAGACGCATACGAATCGTCACTGTGGGAATTCCGGGAATTGACCCTCAATTCTAAATAAAAATAATGTCAGTATGAGCAAAAACAGGACGCCGATTCAATTTAACACTAAAAAAACCTCCACAGAAACTGTCGTTCATATCCGTCATGACAAATCTAACATGCGAGGCACCAGTCTCGCAATTCAACCATTCGTCATCAGAAAAATTGCACAATCCCGCTCATTTGATCCAGTAGTTTTCACTTTATTTAAAACGAATTTCACGTAAAGCGTAA